GGGCCCAGAAACCGCCGGGGGTTCCCCGAAACCGTCAGGGGGGGTCCTGAAACTGCCACGGGGTCCCCCAAACCACCCGGATTGTCCCCAAACTGCCTCTCTGTCCCCCCCTCCGCAGGCACCAACGCGGTGGACGAGCAGGGCGCCAAGGTGAGAGCCGCTAACGAGGGTGGCTAATTAGCCCCCTTCCCGGGCCCCGTTTGGGCCGGAAAAAAGCCCCGTTTCGGAAGCGTTTGAAGTGCGGCTCCCGCCGAGGTGCCAACGACCCCCATCAAACGGTCCCCGCGGAAACGGGGCCACCAAATTGTCCCGGGGGGAGGGGATGACCCTTTTTTCTCTCTTTTCTCCCCATTTTTGCCTTTCCCCCCCCCCGCAGATCCCGGATGAGTTCGACAATGGTGAGTCCTGGGGGGATGGGGCGTTTTGTACCCCCCCCTCCCCCCAAAAAAAAGAGGGGCTTTTGGGGTAACGAGGGGGGAGAAGCCCCCCAGGGCCAGAAAGTGGGATAAAGATGGAAAAAGGGGGAAAAAAAGAAAAAAGAGGGAAAATAGGGGAAAAAGGAGAAAAAAGGGAAAAGAGAAAAAAGGGAAAAGAGAAAAAAGGGAAAAGAGAGAAAAAAGGGAAAAGAGAGAAAAAAGGGAAAAAATGAAAATAGAGAAAAAAATGAAAATAGGGAAAAGAGAAAAAAAGGGGAAATAGGGGAAAAAGTGAAAATGGGAAAAAGCGAAAAAAAAAAAACAGAAAAAAGGGTGAAAATAGCAAAAAATGGAAAAATGGGAAAAAATGGGAAAAGAGGGAAAAAGTGAAAATGGGAAAAAGGGAAAAAAAACAGGAAAAAAGGGTGAAAATAGCAAAAAAAGGAAAAATGGGAAAAAGGGGAAAAGGGGGAAAATAGGAAAAAAGTGAAAAAGGAAAAAAGAAAAAAAGGAAAAAAGGGAAAAGGGGGATAAAAAGGAAAAAAGAGGAAAAAAGGATAAAGTGAAAAAGAGGGACTTAGAGAAAAAGGGGGAAAAGGGGAAAATAGGGAAAAAAGCAAAGGGGGAAATGGGGAGAAAAGGAAAAAAGGGAAAAATGAAAAAAGGGGGGAAAAAAGGGTCTTTTGGGATGCAAATGGGAGAGGGGAAGCGGCAGGGTGAGGGGGGCGGGGGGAAGGTGACATTCTGGA